CTGAAGTTTTAGGTCCATAGTATATACGGTTTTGGCACAATTATTGAAAGTTGAAATTAACCAAATTAATTTATTAAATATATAGATCAAAATTATTCTAAAATAAAATAAACTAAAATATAAAATCATACTAAAAAATTATATAAAAATTACTTTAATTTTTCTCCTTTTTTACATTTTCGACCTCTATATTTATGCTACTAAAATTTATATACCATGGATAATTATTTTATATAATTGTCCTTTAATTTACTTATATAATTTAAACCTTTCAAATTACTTTTACAATTTAAACATTTTATCTTTACAAATTAACTATTCCTTTAAAATTATAATATATTCAATACACGTATTCGACACTATCCTCACCTATTCGCAAATCTTAATTACTTGCCCGTTTTTGCATTAACTACCGGTAACTAGGTTACTCTTCCAAACTAGTGTTGTTAAAACGCCGCGAGTCGCGTTCGGGTCGTTTTTTTCGACCTCGACACGAGTTCAAGCCGAAAAAAAACGACCTCGACCCAAAATATGGGTCGTTTTTTTCGACCTCGACCCGAGTCCAAGCCAAAAAAACGATCTCGACCCAAAATATGGGTCGTTTTTTTCGACTCAGACTTGAAGTTTATTTTTTAAGGCAAATATGTAAAAATATATTTTGCAAACATGTTAAATTAAAATTTCATTGGAGATGTACTAGGAAAGTGACAATTGTCACAATCGTCATTGTTGAACTTTTTTGAATTTTTTTAAGGCAAATGGGTAAAAATATATTTTGTAAACATGTTAAATTAAAATATAAGATGTACCATAGGAAAGTGACAATTTTCATAATCGTCAGTTTTGAACTTTTTTCAATTTAATTGAAGCAGATAGATAAAAATATATACTGCAAACATGTTTAATCAATTTTTCAGTGATGAAAAAATTAAAATAGCCATGTTGATAATTTTTTTGGAATATTTATAACAAAATGGTTAAAATATAAATTATAAACTAGTTATTTAAAATTTCAATAAAAGCCATAGAAAAGTGATAAAAGTCATAATTATTTTTAAACTCTATTTAATCAAATAGTAAAAATCTTATTTGTAAAACATGTTTGGCAAACTATCTCATATAAATACTTATTTATTTTTGGAAAACTGATTTTATTTATAATTAGTATTTCAAAGTCTGTTTTTGTAAGAGTTTCCGCTATTTTTTCAATAAAGTAGCGTCTTATTAACCACTTTTTACAATACTTCGAAATTTTTTTTATTTTCTTCAAAATATACCAAAAATATTATCAACATGGCTATTTTAATTTTTTCAAGGATTTTCATCACTGAAAAATTGATTTAACATGTTTACAGTATATAATTTTATCTATCTGCTTCAATTAAATCGAAAAAAGTTCAAAAATGACGATTATGACAATTGTCACTTTCCTATGGTACATCTTCACCGATATTTCAATTTAACATGTTTGCAAAATATATTTTTACCCATTTGTATAAAAAAATTCGAAAAAGTTAAAAAATGACGATTATGATAATTGTCACTTTCCTATGGTACATCTACACTGAAATTTTAATTTAACATGTTTACAAAATATATTTTTACCCATTTGCCTTAAAAAAATTCAAAAATGACGATTAAGACAATTGTCACTTTCCTATGGTACATCTTCAATGAAATTTTAATTTAACATGTTTACAAAATATATTTTTACCCATTTGCCTTAAAAAAAATTCAAAAATGACGATTATGATAATTGTCACTTTCCTATGGTACATCTTCAATAAAATTTTATTTTAACATGTTTGCTAACCATTTGATTAAAAAAATTGAAAAAAGTTCAAAAATGACATTATGGCAATTGTCACTTTCCTATGGTACATTTTCACTGAAATTTTAATTTAACATGTTTGCAAAATATATTTTTACACATTGGCCTTAAAAAAAAAACTTCAAGTCTGAGTCGGAAAAAACAACCAAGCTCCAAGTCTGAGTCGAAAAACGACCCATATTTTAGGTCGAGGTCGAAAAAACGACCTATATTTTGGGTCGAGGTCGTTTTTTCCCGCTTGAACTCGGGTCGAGGTCGAAAAAAAAGACCCAAAATTTGGGTCAGCTCTGTTCGAGGCGACTCGCCTAAGCCGATTAACAACACTATTCCAAACCTATCTTCCTCCCCGTTGTGACCCTCAATCAACGTCTGCCCCCGTATTCTAATACTCTTATTTCGGAACTCTCTCAAGCTGAAATATAAAACTCCCAACCATATCAGAAATATTACCCCTGCCCTCATTATATTATACTGTAGCTCAAAATATTAGTTTAAAAATAATTCATTAAAATAATTGAAAAAAAATTTCTTTAAATTAATTAAATCCATACACAATATCTAAAAACAAATTAACCTAAAATAATATCTATAAAAAAGTAATAATTAACATTAAATATATTTTAACTAATTGTAGCATTAAACAATACGAGACTATCAGTAAAAAAACTGAAAGAACACAACAGTGCATCCAAACTAACTGTACTTAATTAACTCTTAACTCAACCATAGAATTCTTCTTTGCCTTTAACAACAATATTTCACTCCACATATAACTTCCCCTGTGACTTTAACAACTATTTCACTCCACAGCTAACCCTTTGTTCCCTTAACAAACGTTAAGCTTTTTTTATTTAAATAAAATTTACCTAGTTTTCGTTGTTCTGATAGAATAGTTGTCAAAGCTAATTATTTGAAAACCCAAAAATCATAAAATATCGAATAATTTTATTGGTAAATTTTAAATTGAAAATATGAAGTCTTAATATAAATGTTGGCATAAATTGCTCTTTAATATCATACAATTGAGTCTTACAAATTATATAAATCAAATACATGCACCGTTGTTACACATATATATTATTTCGCGTAAAAAAATATAACAAAGATAAAGAAAAAAGATATTGTATATGACAATAAATAACATTACAATTTCGATTTTGGATATAAGTTTTCTCTTAAATAAAGAATAAAATGTATGCCGAGATATCTATAATTATTTTTTTTTAAATTAATTAGCAATTAAAATGTAAAAAATTTATAACTAATATGATTTACACCGCTTTATTGAGGGGCCACGAAGGTCGCCAATAGTTTGGTCAGCACATCTAATTGTAATGAAAACTAAATATAACACATATATGTTGTTTTTTTTACATTTTATTTTAATATAATATTATTAATAAGTTAAGTAATGCAAATAAAACTTAAAAAATAAAATTTGTAAAAGAATAAATAAAACTTTTAGGAAAGGTTTTAATCCATTCAAAATTGATTTGTTGTTTGAAACACTATACCATGCTGACTCTTAAGGGAGGGATGAGCATCAACAACACCTCCCCAAAATTTCCAAAAATAAGTTTAATATGCTGGTCCCAGAACAGATTTTTATTCAAAAAAGATATGTTAAAAAGTTTCCAAATAACATTTGAAAAATATGCTGTTTATTATAAACTTATATAATAAATGCAAAGTAATTTCTTCTTTGAATAAGCGATATATATTATTTAAAAAACGTGAATGATAGAAATTAAAATTAATTAGAATAGAAGTATCCCATTACAAAAACAAATAAAATTAACGCGATGATTAGCTTTCGAAGTATCTTCCCATAGGTCTTGGCAGATACGTCTAATTACGATATCGTTTTTTGCGTACCAGGAACCCAAGGAGCCAACCACTATCGACACGACTTCTACCAGTGTGTTTCAGATACTGCATTACTCCTTGATACTTAGCTTTATTTTCGTTATAAGCTGCGTCCAGAGAAGTTAAGGGATTATCGAAAGGAATAGTAATGTCGATTACGAAAGCTTGATTGCTTTTAGCTATTACCAGGTCCGGTCTCATGAGTGTACTATCGACAACTTAATTTTCTGCAAGTTGTGAATTTTGCAGCTATAGTTCTTTTTAATCGTTTGACCACTGCATCGTGGCGATCCACCATCCAACGCTAGTGCAACATGTAATGATTTAGACGTGTGGAAGAATTTCGTTTGATTGTCCACACCTCCTACATCGCAGGTCTCTTGAAGCCAGGTTTCGCGTTTAATGGTAGCTCGTTGAACCTTACCCGGTGGATAAATCTTCGTTCAAAAAATGATGTGTATTGTTGGCTCGTGAGGAAGAAATGATTCGCCAGGTGTTGGCCGACACACTCCATAACCCTATTCTAGTTCCTGAGCTATCGAAGATTCTGGTCTCTCTGTTACCTTTCGTGAAAGGAGATTTATCCACCGGGCAAGACTCAACGAGCTACCATTAAACGCGAGACCAGGCTGTTCAAGAGATCCGCGATGTAGGAGGTGTGGACAATCAAGTGAAGCCCTCCCACACGTCTTGAATCATTGCATGAGGCACTGGCGTTGGATGGTGGAACGTCACGACGCCATCGTCGAACGACTAAAAACAACCGTAGCCGTAGAATTCTCAATACTTGCGGAAAATCAAGTTGTCGACGGTACACTTCTGAGACCGGACCTGGTGACAGCTAAAGGCAATCAAGCCTTTATAATCGACGTCACTATTCCCTTTGATAATCGCGTAGCTTCTTTGGACGCAGCTTATAACGAGAAGAAAGCAAAGTATCAAGGGGTAGTCCAGTTTCTGAGGCAAACTTACACATCAGTAGAAGTTGTGCCGATAATGGTAGGGTCCCTGGTATGCTAAAAATGATTTCCTAATAAAGCGTATCTGTGCCAAGACCTATGGGAGGATGCTTCGTAAGCTAATCGTGGTTGACGTCATTAGAAGATCCTGTAATCTGCACCATCAATTTATCTATGGGAGGACAAAGATAGGAGGCAATAATTTAGACGATATTGCGTTTAATTTTTCTTTTTAATATCGCGCGTTTTATTTACTATGCTACATAAATATAGCGGTTTTCTTCATAAAATATATATCACTTGTTGAAAAAAGAAATTACTTTGTATTTATTATATATATATAAATATATATATTACACATCTTACTATGGATGTTATTTGGAAACTTTTTTTAACCTATCTTTTTTTGAATAAAAATCTGTTCTTATCAGCTTAATATCTAATCCCTAAAAAATTTTGGGGAGGTGCTCTGGGCTTTCTCATCCCTCCCCTAAGGGACAACTTAGTATTGCAGTACCTGTAGGAGAAACCCAAAAATGAATATTAATTTAGAATTTTTAACAATTATCAAATTGTCATCAATTTTTATAAAAACCTTTCCTCTAGGTTTTATTTATTCTTAGTTTTACAGATTTTTATGAGTTTTATTGAGGTTTTTAATTTTATTTGCATTACTTTTTAATATATAAAAAATAAAATGTAAAAAAACCAGACAAGTAATATGTTTTCATGTGTTTAATTTTCTTTAAAATATATTTAGACCTGTGTAGTGTTGTTAAACGGCTCGTTTTGAGCCGATTTTTAAAAACGGCTAATTCAATATATTAGATAGGAAAATATTTTCTAAGCATCGAGATTTCGCTAATAGATGTCCAAACCTTTGTTCCTTCTATAAACAAAATCTTCAGGCTTGCGTAATATTATTCTGGACGAAATATTGAGTTAGCCTTTTTAAAAATCGGCTCAAAACGAGCCGTTTAACAACACTAGACCTGTGCACCGACGAAACTATCGGTGGGGCGCCAACGAGATAGCAAAAACGACCCAAATGGTGTTTGGTGATGGGAAGTTTGGATCGGAGTAGCTACTCGCCGTGTTTTATCAAAAAAACTATAAATATTACAAATTATTAGTGCCAGAGCATTTATTTTCCCTTTTTTACCTAACTTAAAAGAAATCTTGGTAGGAATGGTCGATTTCGACAACTATGATTATCATAATATATTTTAAAAAATAAAGAAAAGAATTGACGCCTCTTTCATCTAAATAGAATATATATTAGAATGGCATGTTTCTCATTTTTAAGCAATAATATTGCTAATATCTGAAGAATTCTATCGGGTTCTATTCCAAACCTTTTCCAGCTTAATCCCATTGATTTAATGTAATCTAGATATTACCGAATCATTAATTTTGGGATTAGGTAGTAAATTTTCAACTATATTTTTTATCGTCAATACATTATTATATTTTGTAAACTATATAGTTTTAGATTTCAAATCGGAATCATTCATTTTGTTCCTCCTTCTTTGATTGATTATGTAATCGGCCAAGGGGTCATCGTTATATTCGGAGAAGATATTCCTTTTGAATCGGTACTGGCGCCATTGTTTTTATACTCGCCTGTTCATGTATAATGAGCCATTTTTAGCTATGTTGTTTTGTATTTGCGGATAGGTATCTGAATTTATTATTGTTTTTTGATTGGGTAAATATTATTTTTTCAAATAAAGCTGAAAGTGAAATATTTTGAGTAGTGTTGTTAAACGGCTCGTTTTGACCTTAAAAACGGCTTACTCAATATTTCCCAGAAAAATATTGCCTAAGACTCGAGATTTCGCTTAATAGATGTCCAAACCTTTGTTCCTTCTACAATCATAATCTTCAGGCTTGCGTAGTATTATTCTGGAAGAAATATCGAGTTAGCCGTTTTTATAAATCGGCTCAAAACGAGCCGTTTAACAACACTAATTTTGAGAGTAAGATGGTTCTTCTTATAAGAAAAAATATTAAAAATTATAACCTAATAAACAATATAATGTTAAATGTTACAATCATGTAGTTGTAAAAGGATCTAAGATAAGGGATAATGAAATTATTCATTACAATAAGTTAAGAATAATTATAAAAAAAAATTTGTTTAAAAAAAAATTATGAAAAAAATAATTAAATTTAGTTTTAAAATTTTTATAGGTTTAAATTTTGGTTTTGGTTAGCAATTACTAATATTAAAGAAGAAAATAAATTAAAATGGCTATTTCACTTTTACAGATTAGACAGATTTTGTTATTTAATTTATGTAATTAATATTAAATTAATTATATATAAAGAATTAAAAATTTTAGAAAATATATAATTCTTATTATATTAATATAAATTTTAGTAAATATATAATTCTAATATTTAAAGTAATTTATATATTTAATATAAAATTAATGTGATATAAATAAAAATATATAAGATTGTAATAATATAAATTTTAGTAAATATAAAATAGTAAGATTTTACATGATTTAATTATACCTATGCTATGAGTACATTTGCTTCCGAATCTGTACTACCCCCAATGACATAGATAATACCTAGACTGACGATTCATTCATTAAAATTCATTTTTAAACGTCGTTAAAAGCAAATCAGCTGGACCGGCCATTTTGGTAACACATATAGTAATTATTTTCATGTTAAAAACTACTATTAAATTGATAACTTGCTGTCTTATTATTTCGATGATCCGGTAATTCTTTAATAAAGTTTGCATCAGATATAAGAATAAATTAGGCTCTCGTTTATAATTTAAAAATGATTAGTGAAACCAAGATGGCGTCTCCACATGATTTGCATTTATGTACACTTTTAATGAATGAATCGTCAGTCTAGGTATTATATATGTCATTGACTACCCCTTGATACTTTGTTACCTTCTCATTATATCATGTACAGAGATGCTAAGTTATCGAACAGGATAGTGATATCGATTATAATCACCAGATCCAATCTCAGGAGTGTACCGTAGACAACTTGATTTCTGCGAGAAATAAGATTCTGCAGCTTAGATTCTTTTTAATCGTTTGACAACGACATCGTAACGATCCACCATTCAACACGAGTGCAACATGCAATGATTATTTCGTATTCTTGTCTGCACTTCTAAAATCGCGGGTCTCTTGTGGCCTTGTCTTGCGTTTAGTGGTAACTCATTGAGTCCTATATTGTCTGCTCGTGAGGAAGATATGATTTGCCAGGTGTTAGTAACCTTGCCATCAATCCTGAGCTCTCGAAGGTACTAGTCACTCAGTGACCTATTAATCTCTTTACCACTACCTCGCCACAATTGGGATCCAGCACAAAGTCGTCCTAGGTGAATAAGACATCAATCATCCATGCCATCATGAGCTTTGACGACGCCTGATGGGCCTTTGTCTATGCGTTTTTTAGGGTTTGCTGAGTTTTTGAAGCGCTTATTAGTTATCTCAGATTAGTAGTCAGGGATGTTGATCCATGACACATCCACTAGATGCTCCCAGTCAGAATGTCTACGGTTTCCCAAACTTTGCAAATGTTTGATCTTTCGTGGTTAGAAGTTTGAAGGCGTTGTCAATACAATCGCTATTGCTATCCTCGGCCATCATCGGGATTCCGAGAGAACCCAATTTTCGTGACCCTTAGAGGAGTTGTTTCAGCAGATGGTGGGAGATCTAGTATGAACTTTATTATTGAAGGAATTTCCTTGTCCACCTTATCACAGGCCGCCTTTGTAAGGAGGCCACATCACATCGGTAAACTTAGGGTGGGGAAGACAAACTTTTTGATAGGGTCTATATTTTGCTATGGGGTTAACATGGATCCGCTGATTTTTTGGATGACTTCAAAAGTTCTGGTATTATTATCATATTTATCACATAAGAATCCTGTTGGTTTACCCAGAAAGGCTTGACTCACACTCTTTCAGGTGTTTAAGGCGTCTGCCATTGATTTTGATAATACTTTCTGTGACTCCAACTGAAGTTTGCCCACTAAAATGAAAGGTGTAGTTTCCAGGATTTAGCGACAGTACAATTATTTTGCCAGAATACACGATATCGAGTCTTCATTCCATATCATCAGTGCAGCCCGTCATCAACACAGGGTTCTTGTGTGATAAATATGATAATAATAACAGAACCTTTGAAGTTACCCAGAAAATCAGCGGATCAAAGTTAGCCCTGTGGCAGAAGATAGACGCCATCAAAACGTTTGTTTTCCCCATACTAAGCTTCCCAATGCGATGTAACCTCCTCGCAAAGGCGGACTGTGACAAGGTGGACAAGGAGATTCGCTCAATATTAAAGTCCTTACTAGCTCTCTTCCCATCTGCAGCAAACAACTACCTGTAAGGGTCACGGAAATTAGGAGCTATCGGAATCCCGTTGATGGCTGAGGATAGCGATATCTATCGTATCGACAACGCCTTCAAGCTCTTAACTTCAAAAGATCCCCTCGTTAAAGGGGTTATGCAGAGCTTAGAGACACCGTGGCCAAGATGTGACATCTTACTTATCTGGGGTAAACGATGAGCGATTCAAAAGCTCGGCAAACGCCTATAGGAACACATGGAAAAGAGCATGTCAGGCGTTGTCGAGGCTCAAGGTGACGTAAGCGATTGAGGAGGCAGTGGCAGAAAGACCTGGACCTTCGATCTCAGGAATCAGGGCAAGGTTATAGAGTGTGATGGTCAACACTCAACCAGTCATTTCTTCCTAACGAGCAGACAATACACATCGTTCGATGAATAGAGATTTATCCACCAGGCTAGACTAAACGAGCTATCACTAAACGCGAGACTAGCAATATAGGAGGTTTAGACAATCAAACAAATTCCTCTCACAAGTCTAAATAATTGTATGTTGCACTCGCGTTGGACATCAAACGATTAAAAAAAACTGTAGCTGCAGAATTCACAATTCTCTCAGAAATCAAGTTCTTTAAAATCGATATCACTATCCCGTTCGATAATTGCTTAGCTACTCGGATGTAGCTTATAACGAGAAGACAACAAGGGGTAATGCAGTTCAAACGTACTCATCGTTTCGATCGGTTGTTTCCCTGGGTTCCGGGTACTCAAAGAACGATCTAATAAGAGGCATCTGCACCAAAACCAATGAAAAGATGCTTCCGAAGTTAATCGTCACCTATGTCTTAAAAGGATCTTGCAATCTCTATCATCAGTTTATCTCTAGGAGGACAAATGGTAGGAGGCAATAATTTAAACGATATCATGTTTAATTTTTCTTTTTTTAATACCGCGCATTTTCTTTACTTCGTATTTTAATATCGCGGTTTTCTTTCTTTAAAAATACATATCACGTTTAATATAATTTTCGTAATTTTACAAATCTTTATAATCATATGCATTATTTTTTGGAACTTGATTATTGGGGACAACCAATCAATTAAAGGTAATATAAATTTATGCCTATAAATATTCTAAATATATTTTTATCTTTTCTATTTATATAAAAATAGATGTCAATTTCGAAAAACACTCAAAACTCAAACGAAAATACAATATTAAAATATATTTTCTCACAAAATTAAATCATTATTCCTGTACTTATAATTATAGATTATTATAATATATACAAAATAAATATTCAACTATATTTGTAGAGAAAAAAAATTTGAAATTTATATTATCTAATTTTTAAAAAATAAATATTTTATTAATTGGTTTGGGATTTGTAAACTAAATTTTTTTTATTGGGTTGTTGCTATGTTTTTGATTGGCATTTTTCTATATATCGTTAGGGATTTGAACCGTTATTTGTAACGATTCAGTTTGGTTACGGTTCAGTATATAAAAAATTATAATGATTACATTTTGGTTATGTTTCTTAAAAAGAATTTATAAAGATTCAGTTTGGCTCACTAATTATTTATAAAGGTTCATTAATGTTAAAAAAAATTTTTATTGAAGCAACACCATTTTCTAATTTATTTTTATTATAAGCATCTATGAATTATATATATAAAATATATATAAGATTCAAAATAACTATTTAAAATATATTATTTGAACATATAAGTAAAAAAATTTCTAAAATAAATGGATTAATTTTTGTACTTTGTGACGATAACAAATTTTAGACCCAAAAAAGCCCTTTCTACAGAAACTTGTGTTGCAGAAACCACCAGTACTATAAAAGCAAGTTTATATAATTCTGGATATTCAAATTATCCATTTCTAAAATAAAAACATAACCATTTAAAAGTTTTTATAAAGGTTCATTTTACTCCTTCAAAAAATAATTATATAAGTTCAGTTACGGTTCAGATATTTATAAAAGTTTATAATGATTTAACAGTTCGCTCTGGGTCCAGGTATATTGTTGGTCTAGAATTGGAGTGCTCCACTTGTGCAAATGTTTAAAATAATAAAATCAACATTAAAGTTTAAAATAAAATATAGGAAAAAGTTATTGAACAATTTTGACAATAACATTGGCTAAAATTTAATATTTTTTAATCTAATTTTTATTTTTATATATATTGGGAATAAATAAGTTATTATCCACTTCTAACAAAAATTTTGAATGTTTAAAATGAGAAAATCATCATTAAAGATTGAAATATAATATAGGAAAAAGTTATTGGTAAATTTTGACAACAACTTGGGTAAAAAATTAATATTTTGTAATCTAGTTTTTATTTTCACATATATAGGGTAAAAATATTATCCACTTCTAACTTAAAAATTTTGAAAATGTTGAGTGGAGCATTCCAAATCTAGATTTAAGATATATAAATAAAGAATGGCATTTACATTTATATAAAAAAATTTATTTTTAAAAAATTTCTTCAGACTATTATTTTTTTAAGTTAAAATAAGGTTTATATTTTGAAAAAAATATTCATTTAAACTAATTTTTTTTATTACATAAATGTGGTATTTATATCTTTTAAGCCCTTCAAACTTATTTACTATACCATTTAATGGTCTTTGTTTTTAATTTATTACCAAATAAAACACCTACAACCCTGTATATAAAAATAAAATGCAAAAAATAACATAGACAAGTAATGTTGTTTTCATTTTTTATATTTAGTTTTCTTGACATGTGGGCAACATTATCTCAGCTCAAAAAAATATGAATTTAAAATAGCATACTGGAAAAGAGACGATATTTTCCATGAATGGAGGATATTATCTGCTAACTTAAAAGAAAATGTGAGAAATAGTCGATATCAATAACTATGATTGTTAAATTTAAAGACAAGAAAGCCTGTTTCATCTAATAGAATATATTTTGGAATGGCATGTTTATATTTTTAGGCAATATGAATATTGATAACAATTTTATCGGGTTCTTTTCCGGCTTTATTACATTGATTTAACACAATCTAGATATTCCCGAATCACTCATTTTGATTAGGTAGTAAATTTTACACTGGGATAATCCATTATTATGCTCAAGTAGGTCATTAATTTTAGACTTCAATTCGGAATCATTTATTTTGTTCCTTCTTTGATTATGTAATCGGCTAAGGGATCATCGTAGAAGGTAATACTTTTGAATCGTTACTTGCGCCATTGTTTCTTACTCGCCTGTTCATGTATAGGTTTACTGAGTCTTTTGTAATTGGGGATATCTGAATTTATTGTTAATTTTTTTGATTGGGTTATTTGTTATGTATGGTTTCCTGTGAGGAAAAATCTACAAAATATAACATAATAAACAAAATAATGCTAAATATTACAAACCTGTAATGTTGAAAGATTAATGAATTAATTATTAAGTTAAGAAATATAGGTTTAAATTTTGGTTTTGGTTCGCAATTACTATTATTAAAAAAGTAAATAAATTAAAATGGCTGTAATGGTTTAATGGACCTATTAAAATTGAACCGGAGATTAAATATTTAACTTTTACAGATTAGACATATTTTGCTATTTAATCTATATTAAATTAAATTAATTTGATATAAAGAAAAATTTATTAAATTTTAGAAAATATATAATGCCAATATTTAATATTATTTTAGTAAATATATAATTCTAGTATTTAAAGTAATTTATATTTTAAATATTAATCTAATGTGTTATAAAGGGAAATATATAAATTGTATTAATATAAATTTTAGTAAATATAAAATGGTAAGATTTTACATGATTTTATTATAATAAAATAATTATAATATAATTTATTTTTTATATTTATGATTTATATATTACATATTTTAATATTATATACATATTTAATAGAATTAATTTATAAAATAATATATATTATTTATTCAATATTATATATAAATTTATAAATAATTTATATTACATAATATTAAAATAATTTCTTTTAAACCTAATAATAGATTTTTGTAATATTTATTATCATTGATTTATTGTAAAAAATAACTAAGAATGGTAGGACTAGGAGCCATTTACTTACATCGTTTTCATGCGACATGTAGCTGGGTAGGAAATATAAATAAATATGAGGGCAAAGTAGTAAATCAAATTATTAGTAAATATTTTTACTTATTATTCCTTTAAATATTAGATTTGCTCATATATTTAATTTTTAGATTTCTAATGATTAATAGGATAAGGGATTCGAAACAAATCTAAAATTGGAGAAAAAACCTAGGTTTTTGAAAAAAAAATCTTGTTTAGATTAAAACCCTTAGCTTCCGGATTCAATGTATTGTTTAAAATCAGATTAGTGACGAAGCGTCCATAGAAGCAAGGGAAGCATTGCTTCCCTTGAAAATTTTTTTACAAAATTTTTAAATAAACTTAATATAATCTTTGTACTATGCTAAATAAACTAAACTGACTTCGTTAAAAAATTAATATAATTTTTATAACGTAAAAAAGATTAGTAACGTTAAAAAGATTAATATAATTTTTATAACGTTAAAAAATTAATATCATTTTACTATATTAAGAAATACTATTATTGTTACTACGTTAAAAAGGTTACTATTATTTTTACACGTTATAAAATTAACTATTAAAGAGAAAATCATTCCATAGTATTGTGTAATTTTACTATTAAAAAATAAGCATTGAAGCAAATAAAAAAAATGCTTATTTTTTAATAAATAAAAGAGAAAGAAATTTTTTTATATAATATTTTTTTCCTTACTTTTGTAAAATAAAAACTTTTCGTTTTTAAAATCCTTAATTAATGTTTAATAATTGTAATTGTATTATTGAAAATTTATTAACATTATCATTTAGCTCAAGATATTTTGATGCTAAAAAATTGATTATTGAAAAAGGAAGGCCAAAACCAATTTTAGAAAACTTAAAAAAAGAAATCAAAACTTCCCGTAATTTTTCTATCTATAAATATGAAAAATATGAATGGCTCATTGGATGTGAATTTTCTAATTCTCTGTATTGTTGGTCATGCCTATTATTCCCAAAGGAAGAATATGTTTGGTATGATAAAAGATTTTCGGATATGAATAATTTTTCAAAGCAGTTAAATGGCATGAAGAATCAACGGCTCATTTGCAGTCGATGATTCAATTTAAAACATTTGGCCAAAATCATATTGAAAATATGATAGATTCGATGCGCAAAATATTAATCGAGCAGCATAATTCTAAAGTCAAATCAAATTGAGAAATATTGAAAATATTGATCAACTCTATATGTTTTCTTGGAATTCAGGAGCTCGTACTTCTAATTCAGTAAATAGAGGAATTATATTGAATTAATTTATTTGCCTGCGGAGAAAATTTACTATTGAAACATCATATAGAAATAGTGCAGTTTTTATTAGACTATTAAGCGATATTCAAAATGATTTGATTAATTCTATTTCATATGTCTTACACCAAAAGATATTAAATTCGTTGAATTGTTAGATATTAGTAAATTCCAAATAATCAAAATTTCTCAAAATATTTATTAGATAATTTAAATGACACTTATTCTCAATTTTTCGACTTACACAAGCTGGAAACCGAATTAAAGGTAGTATTTTGGGATGTTGAATTTAGAAAGAAAAAGAATGTTAATGTAATACTTGAATTTTAATATGCACCTATTTGATGAAAAGTTTTAAAGATGCAAATTCATCTTAACTAACTTCTACAACATCAAGTGCAGAACGGAGTTTTTCATCTTTAAAAGAATAAAATCTTATTGCAGAAAGAGGATTAGCCAAAATCAATTATCGAATCTATCTTTGATTTCGATTGAAAAAATATTATTAAAAAAATCTAGCAATAACTTTTATAATGCAGTACTACAAAAACAAAGAGGAATACAATTTATGTAAAAATCTTAATGTTTTTATGGTTTGAGTTTGACCAAATTCTTGATTGCGTCCCTAGTAGTGAACCTGACGCTTCGTCACTGGTATTATTGTTAATACAAATATTAATAATTTAATTGGGATTTTATAATATTTTCAAATTTCCAATAATTGAAGTGATAATATAATTTAAAACAACTTAATACATTTACGCCATTTTTTAATTTTTTTTAATTTTATCTTAAATATTCCTATTGGAGTGTTAATAAATTTAAAACAATTAAATTCATATACGCCATTTATTTCTTTTAACTTATTCTCAAAGATTATTAATTAGTAGAAAATGGAAGTGAACAAGTCAAATTAAAAAATTATTATATTGGATATTCTCAATTTAAATAATTCTCAAAATTTAATATACAATATAACTATGGATACATACGAAAATTTATATTTTATTCAATTTGGGTTGATGATTCCCTGAAGATGAAAGCCTTCGACACATAGGCGTTGCCAAAATTTTCATAAGGGGGGGGAATTAAAAAATTACTGTGGGCTTCACCCCCAGATCCCCTTTTGGGCGGGTTCCTTGGCCTTCGGCCGGGTTACTTTAGTCTATATATAGTCATAAATATTTTTACAAATTTTAATATAAGCCTGGAACAAATATGAAATATATTTTTATTAGTTTATATAAAATAAAAATATAATAAATTAGTTGTATTGTATATACCTTGATATAAAAGCATGGTAATAATTTATTCCAAACAATTATAAGTAATTTATTTATAAAAATTAAGTAGACATATAGTTGATTTTACTCTATTATATAGAATTAGTTATAAAATACTAAGTAAAATTCCACTTTTACAGACATATTTAACAGTTAGAGAGTATATTACAGTTAATAATTTAACAAATTTTACTAATCAATGCTCTTGATATTAAATATGCAATAATTTGCATTCAATTATTTAACGCCATCTATTTATTTTAAGAAAAATTATATTTAAATTTAATTTTCATATTATTTATCCCACAATGTCTTTAAAAGATATTTTCTGATGTCCTTATCAATATTTTATAGTTATCTGTAAAATAGATTATTCGCTATATAGGTAAAAATTACTTGATTGTCATTTGATAATTAGATTTACTGTAAATCTACGACATATAATATTCCACTCTTTGTATTGTGCTTTAATATTTTTTTAATTTATGATTTAATTTTATCAATAGTTTTAAAATTATGTTTAACTTTTATTAAGATTAATAAATTAAAATTACTCACTTTATAAAAATATATATTTGATATATTATATTATTTATTAATTTTATGGATCTATTATTAATAATTATAATACATTTCACTTCTGTCTTAAGACTTATCTTTGGTTTATATTCCATTTATTAAAAAACATTTTTGGTTCATTTTATATATTTATAAATTTATTTTCCCAAAAATCTATAAATTATGATGAATAGTTTTATAAAAAAATATCAACTTTTACATTCTTTCTTTTAAATTATTAAAGATATATGCATACATATTTGAAGGTCAGGGAGTGGGGGGAGGACTAAGGGGGATATTTTTTATTAGCTAAAAATGATATTTACAAAAAGTGATAAATTTCTGAAGGGGGGGGAATTTCCCCTTGCCCCCCCCTCTGGCTACGCCTATGCTTCGACATGGTTATTTGTAATTGACCCTCTAACATTATATTTGTTTCACATTTCATATTTGAACTAAACATTACTGTTAATCCATGTATTTCAAAATAATTAAAATAATCAGAAATAGAACTTAATTGAAAGATTGCGCTTAGCGAGTTAATTACTTTATAGATGGACAAATGTGTCACTAGCCTTCTATTTTATACTTTTTTAATTGAAATTTGCAAACTCAGAACATTTAATTGTTAGCAACCTCCATTGACAACTGTCATTACACTTATATAACGTTGTGTTACCATTTAAGACAATGTTTAATAACATGGAATAGTAAGGAAAAATTTGTACGCAATACCATATCAATAATTCCTGAAGAAAAGAAAAGAAACGACTAGTCCAAATTATAAATATATCCTTAGATGCTATGCTAGATAAGTAGAGAAAATTAATGCGAGATATTAAATTTCTAAATTATCCTACAATTTTAATAATATATAAACGATTAGACAGTATCATAATGACTCAACTAAATTATGCAATCAGATGCTCTCAGCAGTACTATAATAATAATCTTATACATCGCTACACAAATAATATATGCTGTTTAATTTGTAGTCATAGCCATGACACTCATTATGTACACATCTATATTATAATTTTCCGATGTCCTCACTACGTCATTGTGACGTCATGTCATCGCTATTTCATGTCATCGCTATTTCATGTCATCGCTACGTATTTATTTATTTTTGTTAATTTATTTATATTTTATAAAAGCAAGACTCAAATTAAAAGCAATATCCTGGTAAATAATATTTATAATTTATAAAAAATTTTATTTATTTACTTTTTTTATAGGTGAAATATTTTGAAAAGAAAATCCAAGAAAGCATGACTCAAATAAAAAGCAACTATAATCCTGGTAAATAAAACAAATCCACAAAACAAACCATATTTATTCAAAAC